ACACATTAGAAGCCAGGAAAGTTCATCTTTCTCCTTAAGCCACCCCTCCTCACCATCCAAATGCCAAGATGACTTAGAGTCAACCTCTAGGTTTGGGATTGTTACCTTTCCTTAATCCCATAACAGCTGCCTCTCAGTGGTCAAGCTAAATCCATTTAGCTTATGTCTGACTGGTGGATCTTCTGGAGTGGAAAAACTTTAAAAATAGTTCTTAGTTTTTAGAACAACTGGTAATAATGAGAAAGACTAATGGGCATTCATAAGTTGTTACAAGACAGAATTTCTGCTCTATGCATTATTCATTTATGCAAACTGTTGTAAAGGTACCACTTCCAGCAACTGGGCTGGAAAAGTCCCTGAACTCAGGATTACATTGGTATGCACATTTCTGAGGCTTGGTTCTGTTTAATATTTTCATCAGTGACCTGCTTAAAGGAGCGAAGAGCAAACTCATTAAGTTCCTGGATGGGAGGGATGACCAGAACATTAGAGAAAAGGATTAGAATTTCCCCAGCCCTTGCCAAATTAGCAAAACTGTCAGAGTCAAATTTGTTCACTGGGGACAGGCAGGGAAAAGTAATCTGCCCAAATGCGGGCTGAATAGTAGCAACTTATTTAGGGGCAGAATAGAAAACAATATGGCTGCAAACACAGACGTGTAGCAGGAAGTAAACTGACCCAGTGGACACACTCGTGATCACTGGGGCCTTTGCACCCCCCTAAAATGGATTCTGATCCCCAATCCATGGAAGCCTAAAACCCTCCCCCAAGAATTCTAAGAATTCCAGTGAGCTTTTCTTTTTCATGGCACCTCTAGCTTCAGACTCCTGATTGCACTTAATTAGCCTGGCTTTTGGTTCATTTCGCTGTCATGCTCTAGTCGTCCTATAACAAACCATGTGGACCCAGACATAAAAACCATTCCCCTCCGTGAGCAAATCATGGCCTCCTGCAGAAGGGCATTTCTATCTCCTTGGTTCTCTTGGCTCTTGTTCAGTCCTTCCGATTAAACTTCTACCCCAAGTAGTTTAAGAGGGTATTTTTCTAAATATATACAGTTTTCTCCCTAAGAGGCACACTGGGGCCAGCTGTTAAGATAATAACATTTATACCTGTGTTACCTAACAAAGGTGAGCATGACAAAGTCAGGAGCCAATAGTACTATAGCCAGGGGCCAGCAAACATTTTTGGTAAAGTGGCAGATGGTAAATATTTTCTATCTCTATTGCAACTACCCAGCTCTGACACTGTAGCACAAAAGCATTCATGCACAGTATGTAAATGAAAGGGCATGGCTGGCTGGGTGGGCCATAGTTTGCCATCTCCTGCTAGATGGAGCTGCAGAATCTTTGGCTTTTGGGGAAGCTTAGCAACTATCTTGTCCAACCAGTTCATTTTACACCAGTAGAAACCAGGACCTGGAAAGTACAGTGACGTTTATACAATGCAAGACAGTCAGGCCAGGGTTAAAACTTCAAACTAGAAACAGGTAGACCAGTCTCCAGGCCAGTGCCCTCTCCACTGCATCATCACTAGATGATTTCCAGAAGGTTCTGGGGATCCCTGCTTGAATGGCAGAGCCTCTTCTAGAAATTTGTCCACTATAATTTTTGGTGCAATGCCTTAGTTGTATTATGTGTAATACACAGTAGTGTCTTGCAACATGCCTACTCCGACCCAAGATGAATGTTTGACTGAAGATTCAGGCGATGTTGACTCTACCACAAGGGGCAGACTTTGTGAAAACCAGAATACAGCCTGGACTAGATTAGAAGAGGAAGCTAGGCACAAAGCTCAAAGGACATAGTTTTATTTGGTTAAAGTTAAAGGTGACAGAAAATCTTCGTGTACCAAGAGGAATGTTTTAAAGAGGAGCAATTGTTTTCTATCTCCTATTAGAATGAAAGTGTAGGTCTGGAGTGTAGGTCGGATGACAGAAAGAACTTGCTGGAGGTGTAACTCTGTTACTCCCAAGAACTCTGGTCCAGAGGAAGTCGCAGAATTCCCTGAATAATTGGATCTGGGGATTAGCATCTTTCAGGGAGGGTTAGGAGAGAGGGAAATAAGTGAGCTGGTGATTCTTAAAGTTCTTTCTCTCTCATTAAGTCCCCCAAAAGCTGTAGTAAAGAGTCCTTCTCTGAGCCAACAGGGACACATTGAATCATTAGACTTAATGAGAACAGGACGGTTTCTTTAAGAGGGTTGTGAAGTGCGGAACACAAAGTAAATACTATATTGGGAAAAAGTAATTGTCCAGATTTCAAAGGAGCCTCCCAAAAGACACTCCCTCACATTGGCAGGCGATGGAGTAACTCACGGAAAACCCACCATTCAGGGTGGGAAGCTTGCAGCCCCTTCCAATGTGTATGTGTGTGGACATGCTTGGTGCCAGGAGTTTCTTAATGTGGATGGTTGATCTGCAATTTGAGGACCCAGTAGCTTGGACCTATTCCTTCTTGAAAGTCAGGGCCAAGTAATTATGAGAACTCTTATTTGACTAGCTTTGAAAAAGATAAATCATGGCACATATCTTATTACTAACAAAAAAATGGTGCAATCTGTTCGAATGTCATTTCTACAGAGTACATTTCGTGAAACTATCCCAGAAGATTATTTGTCTCAAGCCACGACTTTTCCAAATGATGAACTCTTGATGATTATTATTTTTCCTTCTTATAATTTTTTTCCAGATGATCCAGGAACCTGCACGTCATGCGCTATGGGGTATTACATGTAAGTCTGGTCTTCTTTTTCATGGCACTAACTTTTCTGCAGTTTAAGCATTACTAATTTAATCCTAAAGTCCAGTGATTAAAGCAAAGAGGCCCTGCAGCCTGAAGCAACTCAACCCTGTCAGGCTATTAAGGAACAATTCTTGGATTTAGCATTAAGAGCCCAGCTGTTCTCTTGCCTCGAAAGGAGGCCTTCTCTTTCTTGGTCTTGGAAGTCACCCAACTGACACTGGTGTCTAGGAATCTTGCCATGGGTTACCAAGATTCAGACCTTGCTGTTTATGGACAGACCTTAATAATATACCCGACCCCACACAAGCTGTTTCCAAACGTCTGCATGGAGACCTTGTCCTTAATGGGAGTCAGACGGTCCAGGATGAAGCCACGTGCTACATTAGTTCTTAATCATCCCCAGGGTAATGAGAGACACAGACCACTGGATAACTATCCTCCTCAAATTTCCTAAGACAGATCTACAAAGCAAAGATGGTGTGTCTCCACATCACCTCCCGTTTCTAGTCTAGTTTCCCTTTCAGGGTACATTGGTGCCGATCTTGGAAGAAAAACGAAGAAAGGGAGGTGAAAAGAAAAGGGAGGCCCAGATTTTGCAGAGGCTTCACAGTCCTGCCTGTCATCATAGGAAGTGGGGAGTTTTGTGATGACAGATTCTCACATCTACTTCCTTTCTTCGCCTTTCCATGAAGATTGTCAGGGACATGGGATCAATGTTATTCTCCAGAAGAGAAAACTGAAGCTCAGAGAGGCTATGGGTTCCCTCACATTGCACCACAAAGCTAGTGGGGGGGTCTAGATTTGGGTCACCTCAACTTTGATGGGCCGACTCCTCCTGTCATCACACTGCCTTTCACCTCTGTCAGATTCCAGGAGCTTGAGGTGGGGTAATGGGTGGGAAGATGTTCAAAGGGGTGAGAAGGATGGGAGGGAAAGGAAAATCCAAAAAGCTGAAATATTAAAAACGATCAGTTAACCTTATCATTACTTAACCTTATGGTTTTAACTGAGGTTTTCTAGAGTAGCCTATTATTGTCTACTTTGACTGTCTCTATATTATGGCACTCCTGACCTGCTGATTTAAATTATTGTTCCATTCAAACAGGGGAGGCAGGGTGGAGAAGAGGCCCCCAGGCTGGCTTATTGTAAGGTAGACTAGATGACAGAAATGAGCAGAAAGTCATTTGTCAGCCTGTTCATAGTTGGCATTTAGCCAGCATATGGCCTGCCACAGAGGCCCCCAGCAGAGATGAACAGCAGAAATGCAAGCAATCCTTGGTGAGGTCACACAGCTAGGGGCATAAAATGTTCCTCCAAGAATGGAGGAAGGAGAACTTCAGGACTCAAAGAAAGAAATAGTGACCATGCAGAAATGGGTGAAGAATTCTCCTCCTCGTCCCTCTTACCACTCTGCATCCCTCCAGCCTAACTCTACCCTTCTTCATTTTGACACCAGAACACGCCTCTTAACCTGCACCTACTTCCTGTCACCTGAGAGCATCCTCTGGCAAATTTTGGAACCACTCTTGTCAGCTTCTCCAGCTTACCACCGCCCACTAATGAGCATGTTTCATAAAACCCTTCGAGAAACAAATACACTGAAGGAACACGCCCAATATCACTAAGGGTAAAACATGAGATAGTTGTTTCAGAAACACACATTTATAACCCTGTAGAATATTTAGTAACTGTGAATTCAGCTAACTAAACACTGTAAATAGAAGTTAATAGAGAAATGCAAAGCTCTCCTCTGATATCTTGTTGATGCTATGAAATTCACCAAAGGGCAAAGTTCAACTTCATTCCACTCCCCCTTCAAGTGAGCCTGTAATTCAGTGGAGTTTGAATTAAACATTTTACTGTAGAATGAGAATAATGGACAATTTGTGTAAAAACATATATACATAAAAGCTAAGGCACTTCACTGTTAATATTAACAATTGGCTTACAGACATTTTGGTAAGCTATTTGAACTCATCACTGATCTGTTTCAGCCCTCGCAGGTGCCATGTGGCAAAAGCACACAAGCAGTCTGTTTAAACAGATCTTGATTAAAATCTTAGTCCCACCTTTAACTACCTATGAGACTTTGAGCACTGAATCTTGAGACTCAGTTCCTTTATCTAGAAATTAAAGATAACAGCTACCATATGGGGCTTGTGTGGAGGTTTAAATGAGTTAATACTTGACACATAATCAGTGCTCCGTAAATGAATATCAGGACCCCTTTCCTTCTCTCCAACCTCCTCACAGCTGCCCTGATAATCGGTCCTCCGAGTCCAGAGGCAAGTGGTTAATGACTTGTTTGGAGGGCATACAGACTGAGAGGAGCTTTTCTCCCCTGAAACCCAAATATCAACCCCTGTTAAAAATGATGGTAGACATGTAGAAGGAGATTAAATGATGGTGGTTAAGAGAAGTAGGTCAACATAGCTCATGGGAGAAACTCTGCCTTCTCCCCCAGGTTTGAACACCACTGCTATAAAGCCTGTCCTGAGAAGACCTACAGTGAAGAATTAGAATGCAAAGCATGTGATACCAACTGTGGCAGCTGTGACCAGAATGAGTGTTACTGGTGTGAAGAGGGCTTCTTTCTCTTGGGTAAGCCCAAAAATGGCATCGTACAAAATGAGAACAAGGCTCCAGAGCTCTACCCAGAAATGGGAGCACTCATTTGATTGGTTTCAGAGTCTTCATGTGCCTCTTGTCCAAGGAGGAATTTTAATTTGGTTTGAAAATAAACATTAGCCGGGAGTACTTCCTTCTCCTTTTATTACTGAAACGTAATTCTCATTTCACTAATTAATTTCAAATATCTCCCAGCTGATGGAAACGAGACTGAATGCAGCATGGCAATGGGGGGATGCTGAAGATCCAAATGCTTTGGAATTGAAGTCACCTGCAATATTCAGGGCCATGACTCTTTCCTTGAGACTTAATCCATGCTACATATTCCTGAGCACTGTAAAAGTTAAACGAGGTCCTCGTCTTAGGTTTTGCTCAATTCATTGACTTTGATAGAAGTAGATAGTTATGAAAGTAATACACTGTGAGTCTTCCAGTTGAAGAATAATAGCCCAGCGCTCTTGAAGGTTTGTGGGAGAGAGAGTGGAGCAGACAGCCCATAACGATCCCCAGTGGTTCTCTATACAGAGATTCATTTTATTTGCAGTTTTTCAAGCCCTTGAGAATGTAAAATTCTTTATTCTATGCTCTTAACCCTTCGAGCCAATTTAAATTTTCAGTTAAAAGAGGGCTCAAAGGGTTGGATTTCTTAAGACACATTTCTTGGATGAAATAAGCTAATGCCATCTTGGTTTCTTTAAAAATAAACTCAAACAAAAATGTTCCTGAGATTCCCTTTGGCCTGTTTAGAACTTGGCCTTGCACGGAGCACTGAGCTAAGCCAGCCAGGGTTCCGCCTTCATGCTTCCTCTCTGTGTTCTTATGTAGGCGGCAGTTGTGTGAGGAACTGTGGCCCTGGCCTCCACGGCGACCCAGAGATAGGAGAATGTGAGCCCTGCCACCGAGCCTGCAAAACCTGCACGGGCCTTGGCTACGATGAGTGCAGCAGCTGCCGAGAAGGACTGTGGCTGCTGAATGGGACGTGTGTGAGTCCCACCCAGACCCAGGTGGAAGGGAAATTCTGGAATGGTATGTGCCTCCCAAGAGAGATCACAGGTGTCTAGCTTCCTCCTCTGCATCCCAACCCTCCTCTTCTTTAAGCCTTGCCTTTGGGATCTCCAAGAGATGAAGGATGGGCAGTGAAACAAAAGTTCAGAGTGAGAATCTAGTTTGAGCTACTCCTGGGACCTCTTTGATGTTCACGGGGGGAGAGGGTTGCAGGCTGTGGTTGGTTGGCATTTGGCAGGAGGGAAAACCCAAAGGGCAACTTAAGATTGGTCTGGCCACTTGACTTTCTACCTGGGTAGAGTAGCCCTTGGAACACACAAAGAGAGTCATATAGGGAAATGGCCAGACTACTATTTTCTCAAAGATTTCAGAATAGCTTCTATCACATTAATGTACCTCTTTATCATGGTTACCAGTAGGATTGGCTTTTCCAGTTAGATAAGGAAGAACTCTAAAGTATTGGAACTGAAGCTAAAACAGCTGCTCTTTCTGGCTGGATTATTAGAGCTTGCCATCATGCAAGCTTGCCTTTTAAAACTTGCCCTCGCCTGTTGCAGATGGGAAAAGAGGAGGGCTTGAGAGGGGACAGGAGGGAGGAAAGTGCGGGATCCTGGAATCTAGCAGAAAAGCCTGTGCGTATTCATTCCTACCTGAGTCTGCACGATTGGCCTCCTCACATTGGAGCCTCAGTCACAGGCTTCCTTGCAAGGTAATCACAAACTTTCAGTGACCTCTCCGCATCTGAGGTGGTTAAAAACAAAATCCTCTTCCTGCTGGAAAAATCTGACTCATATTCGATGCAGAGGCGCTCACGAAAACAAGAGATGCTCTCTGATTTCAAGGCAAGGATTTGGCAAAAAGGTCATTTCAGTGCAGAAGCTACGGCAGCTGAAGGGAGGTCTGCTCTGGAGGAGTCTTCTAAGGGCTGGAGAGAGTGATAGATCTGGGGAAGGAGAAAAGGCTCTTGCTGGGTTTCAGAGGAAGGATGTCCATGGCTGTCTACTATGACAGTGCTGCTCATGTGACTTAAAGGAAAAGCAGCTCAGAGACAGTCCCAAACCCAGCAGCCAAAGCCCACGGAGAGCACAGGGCTAATTTCAGAGACATAGCCGGGAAGAAAATCATTCAATCCAGATTGGGATATCTTCCGTGAATTATAGCTGAACCAAAATGCTGAAAATGAGTTTGTCTGGCATTCAGGCATTTGAGAAGCAGTGCAAGCCAAGAGGAAAATAGTCTGGTGCTGTGTTTCTAGCTCAGAACATCTGTATTTTATCTGGCGTCCAGATGATGGAAAGGTCCAGGGAGCCCGGAGTCAGAGCAGACTTGATTCCCCAAATGATTACACATCCCTTTCAACTAGACTATGCTCTTAGCAAGCAGAAATCAGGCTTTGACTGTTCCCCTTTGTCGAAGAACCACACCCATCCCTCTACATCTTCTATTATCAAAATGTGATGTTTTTGAAGAGAGGAAGGAATTAGTCCAATTGGGAATTTATCACTAATGAGGGATTCAGGAAGCAGATGACAATGTTTCTCATGGCTGGAGAAAAGCAATCAAGTTAGTGACATGGCTGCCCTTTTCCACTTCTATGATCTAGGAAATAAGACAGGCAGGCTGTTAACAAAGAGAAAAAACTGTTTTGTCACTGAGCAAGGTAAGGCCATAGCTCACCTCCCCCAGCATAGTTTCACTGAAATGGACCGTGAATAGGACACGCACTTCATAAGGCCCTGGGAGGATCTGAGCCATCCCTACAGCTTTCTCCTGACTTCTTTTCCTTAAAAACAAGGTTGAGAGTGTGGTAGGAGAGCAGAGGGTTCCAGAGAGCAAGGATGAAAGGGCTACACCTCGAAGATGCTGGAAAGCAGATTGCAGTCATCCTGGGTCTAGTTAGAGGGAGCCCAGACAACTTACAGAGTGTTCGTGAGAGAATGTAGCTGCCTACGTGGTACCAGCCAGGTTTTGTTATTGTTTTAAATACAGATTCAGATGCAGGTAGGAAAGGTAAGGTAGGAAGTCCATTCCTTGTCCCAGTGAAGTACAGCTCAAAAAAGATGGCGCTCGCAGCCGCAGACTGTGACCCACCCCGTGAGTCTAGTCAGCATGTGCCGGGGAAACACTCTTGAAATAAAATCCAACTAGAGTTCATTGAACTCCTCTTTCAATAAGGTGGCCAATCACGAGGAGGGTGGCAACGAGGAGAGAGCCATCATTCTCTGTCAGTTACCAAGAGAATGGGAATTCCTCCTACCCTGTCGAGGGACGGAGATTTCCCTACACCTCAGATATGTCTGGAAATCCTCTAGCCAAGGTTAAATAATCGCCAAAGATGGCTGTTCGACTCTGTTCTTCCCACCACCAGAAAGTCACTGCACAAAAGTACAGACCATGCCCAGACCCCTGCCCCAGTCACTAAGATAGTGTGACGAATACTTAATCCAGTGTTGCCACATGGCAGTGACAGAACCAGTGTTAAACAGGCTGCGATGGCTTCAGCAGGAACTCAGGCATCACACGGAGCCACCATGGGTGGAAATGTCCAGTGGGGCAGGCCACGGGCCTTGAACGAAGATAATGGCTCCAGCTGGTTTCCTGAACCCACTGTTGGGAATGGAAACTGTTTACTCGATTACTGTTAAATCATTAGGATTTTCTCAAGTGGTTTTTTCCCCCTGGTAGTGCTGGAAAGTCCTAGGAATAATTCCTGCGCATTTCCCCTACCCACCTATTTCCATCACTGATTAAAACCACGTTTGTAGCGGGCTCTAATTACATATTCTGACGATAGTCTAATCTATGAAGTGCAGACATGGTGAATTAACTTTTTATCTTTGACCACATCCTAACAATTTATCACCAGCCTGTCTTTTGATCTTAATTCCTATGCTCTGAGAAAGATTGGAATCCCAGAGTCAGTCACAAACACTGAGAGCCACTCACGTGTGGGAAAAAATTTCTCAATAGTGGGGAGATATGTGGCCTAGATAGTAAGTGAACTTTAGAGAACTTTAAAGATGCCATGAAAATCTGGTTTTTGAAAGGTTTCGTAGATGTATATAGCTGACTCAGTTAACTCAGAAAGGAAGACATCATTTTTACTTAATTAACCAATCGGAACGCAGAGTGCAGAAAACACATGTCTCTGGGGAAGTAATTAAACCTTTGCCCCGTGGTATGCAGGAGCCGTGTGTGTCCACGTGCCCTGATTGTTACACATCCAGGAATTTTATAAGTGGATCGTCAAACCATTGGCAGCTTGAAGTCAGCTATGGTGGGAGTATTTAGACCAGGGGAATTGGCAAACACTACAAATCAAGTTTTTGTTTTGTTCTCGTTTCCAAAGAGCCATTTTACCAGCATCCCACTGCTTTGGCCTCTACCAAACTATTTTGAAATCCAGTTTAATTACTGAACCATCTGTCTAGTGAATGCAAGCTGGAGAGTCAGGCATACCCGAATTCAAATCCTGGCTCTGTTCTTTGCTAGCTGTGTGACCTTGAACCAGTTCCTCATCCTCTCTGAGCCTCAGTTTCCTCATCTATAAAATGAGAACATGAAACTACCTCACACAAGGTCATTTTGAGAATTAAATGAGAGAACACATACAAAAGCTCCCAGCACGTAATATGTCACAATAAAAGTTAATCTATTCCCTAACCCTTTAACCTGGTCCAGTTGCACCACATGAAACGCTTGGTCACTTTCAAAACAGCCTCCCTAGCTCATGGGACAAAGCAACATGGGGGCCTAGAGAGTAATACACGTCTGGGAGAAATAATCACCGGAAGAAGGTAGCAAATAATGGCCAGTTGGGATTCCCAATAGCAAGGCAGAGTCCTGACTCAAGCAAGAACGTGCACTTGCAAGGATATTGACAGCTTTATTTATAATAAAAAAAAAAAAGGAGAGGAGCAATCTAAAAGTGTAACAAAAGAAAAATTAAGTGAATTATGGCTCATGCAAGTAAATACGCAAACCATTAAAAATAATGTTTACAAGAGTTTTAATGGCAAGAGAAAATCCCTATAAGATTTATAACATTAAATGCAAAATATAGGGTCAGTATTACATATATAGAAGATGTAAATAATTACACATATATACACACACGTAAGTATTCTCACATGTTGATTATAAAGATGGGAAACCTATGTAACAGAATACACACAGGAGATATTTCTGGGTGGTAAGATTATCTATCGAAGTTTATCTTCCTCTTTATCCTTTTTGTATTAAAAAAATAAAACACTTTATTTTTCTTAATAAAAAAGAACCTGTGCCCACTGCAAGCCCACCTTTGGTGAAGAGCCCGCTGCAGGAGCGACGAAGGCGGAGGTTTCAAATCACAAGAGGTAACAGGGCAATAGGGAGGAGAAGGCAATCACAGGCAATCAGAAGTCTCTGTGATCAAAACCAACCCAAGAAGCTGGGCAGTGAGGAGAAAGTGGGGATGCAGAAGTCGTGAGAGAGAAATGGAGAGAGGAGGGGACCACGCGTAAAACATCAGTGGGCACCTGAGGGGAAAGACTGGGAGGACGTTCAGCCGTGGAGACTTCTCCAACATTTAAGGATGCTCCTGAGGTGCTAAGAGGTTCTGCCTGGGAGAGGCTACCAGGAAAAGCCTATGACCTTGCACATCTTTAAGAACAGGCTGGAAAAGCACCTTTCTCTTCCTAATCACGGCAGCGTTATCTGAAATAGCAAAGATTGGAAAAAACTAAATGGCTACCAACAGGAGAGGAGAAAAATGAATCATGATACATCCATACAGTGGGATACTGTGGAGGCATCTGAAAGAATGAGGAGGTTCTTTATGGATTGTGAAGAATGGTCTCCAAAATATATTGAGTTACCAAAAAAAGGGGCAACGCGATAAACAGTGTGAATAGACACAGTCTGTATAAAAAGGGTGGGAGGGAGACTTCACGGTATTTACCTTTTCTACATTTTGAACCATGTGAGTATTGCTTATTTAATCAAAAAAAATTGAAATAAGAACCCTTGTTTTATGTGGTTGAGCCATAGTTATTTTTGAAGGATGGACGCTACATTTCCTTGGTCAAAGTGATTTTTTTTTGAGGTTCTGTCCAGTCTGGAATTTCTAGAGTAGAAAACAGGAGAAACTATAAGCAAGGTCAAAATTTACTTGTTGAGATTATGCCACCCATCTTTCATCATGAGCTCTGACTGAGGATGACCTTATCCATTGCCCAGGCCTAATTGCTCTTAATTGCGGGTACAGAGCACCCTCTAGTGGAAGCACGGAGGCATTACAGAATTTTAAGTATATGGATACACGTTACAACAGATCGCAGTAAAATATCCAGTTGCCGGAAGATGAGATATATGTAATTATAAATACGTGTGTATGTGTAGAGACACACATTATATTTTAAGCAAATATGTGAAAAATCATATCTTTGTAAGTACAACATTTTAGTATAAAAATGATAAAATCAAAAGAAAATCAACCCACGGCCTGGACATATAATATTAAATATAATATTAAAGATTTTAAAGGTGCTCAATGTCTGTTATTATTCTTATTCTTTTAATAACTTCTCTCAGCCATTAAGTAAGCATCTTTTTTTTCAGCTTCATTCAGATATAATTGACATATAACATTGTGTAGGTTTAACGTGTATAACATGATTTGATATATGTATATACTGCAAAATAGTTACCACAATAAGGTTAGTTAACACATCCATAATTATCTTTTTTTGTTTGTGGTGAGAACTTTTAAGGTCTACTTTCTTAGCAACTTTCAAGTATACAATACGGTATTATTAACTACAGTCACCATGTCATACATGACATCTCCAGATTTATTCATCTTATCACTGAAAATTTATACCCTTTTGCCACCTTCACCCAGTTCCCACCCCACCCCCCACCCCCATCCTGGCAACCACCAATCTACTCTATGAGGTTTTTTTTTTTTTAAGATTCCACATATAAGTGAGATCGTGCAGTATTTGTCTTTCTCTGTCTGACTTATTTCACTTAGCATAATGTCCTTAAGGTCCATCCATGTTGCCACAAATGGCAGAATTTCCTTCTTTTCTATGGCTGAATAATATCCCATAGTATATATATACTACATTTTCTTTATCCATCATCCATTGATGGACACTTAGGCTGTTTCCATGTCTTGGCTCCTGTGAATAATGCTGCAATGAACATGGGGTGCAGATATCTCTTCAAGATAGTGATTTCATTTCCTTCAGATAAATACCCAGAAGTGGGATTGCTGGATCATATGGTAGTTCTATTTTTAACCTTTTGAGGAACCTCCATACTGTTTTCCATAGTGGTTTTATCTATTTACATCCCCACCAACAGTGCACAAGTGTTCCCTTTTCTCCACATCCTCGCCAACACTTGTTATCTCTTGTCTTTTGGGGAATAGATACCTGCCATTCTGACAGGTGTGAGCAGACATCTCGGATATCTTGTTGTGGTTTTGACTTGCATTTCCCTGATGATTAGTGAGGAGTGATGTTAGAAACAGAATTGCTGCTTATCTCTCTGCTGCCTTCTCTTTTGGGTTAAGTGATATTGTCAGGTTAAAAAGGCTTTCAGGGAAAGAGGCATGCAGACCACGTTTGTGAAAATCCCTTGACTAGCATTGCTCTGCACAAGGCTAATTCTGCTCTTAACAGATCCCCGCAGGGAGAGTACATCAGTCAGTCAGTCTACTGGAAAACCAGGGCAGATTTTCTCTCCAAACCAGGAAAAAACCAGCCTCTCAGCATGGCAGCATGGACAGTCATTTATATCTATATATCTATAGACTTATATCCACATATCTATATCTGTCTACCATCTACTGATCTATCTATCTCTCTAGCTACCAACCCACCTTTGAATCTAATTTTCTCTGCAGCAAGGCTTAGCAGCTTATTAACCGTGAGCACCGCCAGAGAAACCAAGCAGTGTTTCCTGGTGCTACTTCAGATATGGAACAGAAGAAAGAGAGGGAAATAAAAGCCTCAGAAATGGGGTGCAACGGTAACAAATGAGGAAATCAGGAGAGAGTAGAAAGGAAGCAGAAGGAACTACCGTTTACTGAGCCACTGTGTGCACACTTTACACAAATTATCTCAGTCTTCACAACAGTCCTATGAAGGATGAATCATTTTCTCTCATTTTAGAGATGAGGAAAGTAGAACTCTACGAGTTTAATTACTGTAGCCATGGTTACCCTACCCTAAGCGGCACAGCTGGGATCTGAAGGCGGGTGTGACTAGAGAGCCAACTCTGCCAGACTAACTCTCTGTGAGAGAAGGAAGGAAATGAAAGGCAAGAGAGGAAGGAAAAAGGGAGGGAGGGAGGAAGGAAGGAAGGAAGAAAGGAAGGAAAGGAGGAAGGAAGGAAGTAATAGAAGGGAATGGTAAGATGCCAGTAATAACAACTGACTGAGTGTCAGGGTCATTCATATCACACATTCTGAGCTAGAACTTCTTTTCTAATTTCCCTCTGTATGAGTCATGCTGATTCCTGAGCAATTACTAAAATTTAGTCAAGATCTCAATGTGTGTTGATTAAGCGATGTCATTGAGGCTGTTTTGTATGTCTTTGAAATCTTCCTGTGGAGTTGCTGACTTCCTGGAGAAGCCTGCCCATTGAATGCTCTTGGAGGGAAAGCGAGAGGGGAAACAGCTCTAATGTTTCCCAGTCTAATGGTGTATTAACCTGGGATGGCCTGCTTATCACCTGACCAGCCAGAAAGTTCATGGGTGGCTCCATTATGTTGATGTTTAATGATGATTTGGGATAAATTTAAGATGAGACAAATTTAGGTTGTATTCCACAGTGGCTACTCTGAAGAACACAGAGACCCAAACATTGACCAATTATGAAATCTAGTTCCAAAGAACAAAAAAAAAAGAAAGTATGTTTCTCCACAAACAGCACAATCAATTCTCAATCTTCATCTTGAAGTGAAGAGAAGTGATCATGTAAGGATCTTGGGGAAATAAGTGATTACCTTTGACTCAAAAACTCTTCCATGAATCATACATATGAGCACACACTCACTCCCACACACATTTTTAAAATATGAAAGAAGTAACATTTGTTAGTTCAAATATCCCCTAGTATTTAAGGCTATCCTGTCACTGAAATTTTGCAAAGAAAGTCTTGATAATCAATTGTCAATGAAGTAAGAGAAAAAATAAATGAATGAAGTCCACATGGTAGGCAATGGGTGGGTGCCAACATTTAGCTAATGTAAAACTGAAGGGATACAATTTTGGGTGGGAAGGGAGACAAGATTACCCACAAAATCTTCTGCAACACTGTAATACTATGAGCCTGTTCAAAGGAGACTGACTTCTTGTTTCTTTCTCTCTCAGACATTTGGAGAAAAGACCAGCCTTGTCATCCTTCTTGTAAAACCTGCAATGGATCTGAAACCCTGTGCACTTCATGTCACAAAGGTTAGTGTGGAGCATGACAGGAGGTGACAGTAGCCAAGCCAATGCATTGTATGTCGTGTATATGAGCATGTATGGAAGGGGTTTGTAGGACTGGATCTAGTGCCATCATATGTTCCTATCACAGTGGCTATACTCTGAAGAAACACGGGGACCCAAACACTGAGCTATAATAAAAACTGGCTTTCAAGGCACCCAAACGAAAAAGAAAAGAAATATTTCTTATCTAAAATCATGATGAAGTTAGTGATTGACTTGGCCATAGAATTTGTTAAGGTCTCTGAGCATCTGACATTCGTAGAGCTTCCATTGCTCTTTTAAAGCTGAAACAAGGGAATGTAAGGTAGAGTATCTAGATGGGGATAAATAGTCTACCTGTTATTTCCTTCATTTCTGGTACTGAATTTAGGAAAGAAAAACAAAACAGGCAACAACTTAATAGCTCAACAAATGAATTGCTTCATTGTCTATAAAAACAAAACTTTAGAAATATCAACTCTGAATTGGAGGATATTTTATTAACATAGTGCATTAACATTAAGAGTTAAGAATGTTATATTCCTTCTACAATAAGAAGTTAAAGGATACACAAAATGAAAGTGGGTAAAATATGATATCAAAAACATAAAATGTGGGAGGGGAGAGTCAAAATATAGGGTTTTTAGAATGCATTTGATCTTAAGAGACCATCAACTTAAAATAGACTGCTATAAACACAGGTTGTTATATATGAACCTCATGCTAACCACAAAGCAAAAACCTGTAACAGGTGCACAAAAAATAAAGAAAAAGGAATTCAAACATAACACTAAAGAAAGTCATCAAATCACAAGGGAAGAGAGCAAGAGATGTAGAAAGGAACAGAGAAGAACTACAAAAAATTACAGAAAACAATTAACAAAATGGCAACAAGTACACACCTATCAATACTTATTTTAAATATAAATCTACTAAATGCTCCAAATCAAAAGACAGAGAGTGACTGAATGGATAAAAAAAACAAGGCCCACATATATGCTGCCTACAAGAGACACAGTCACAGACTGAAAGTGAAGAGATGGAAAAGGATACTCCATGCAAAAGGAAACCAAAAGAAAGCTGAGGTAGCAATACTTATATCAGACAAAATAGACTTTAAAACAAAAACTGCAACAAGAGACAAAGAAGGATATTATGTAAGGATAAAGGGAACAATCCAACAAGAGGATATAACTTCTAAATATCTACACGCCCAATATAGGAGCACCTCAATACATAAAGCAAATATTAACAGACATAAGGGAGAAATTGGCAGTAACACAATAATGGTAAGGGACATTAACACTGCACTTACATCAGTAGATGGGTCATCCAGACAGAAAATCAATAAGGAAACATTGGCCTTAAACAACACATTAGACCAGATAGATTTAATGATTATATACAGAATATTCCATCCAAAAATAGCAGAACACATTCTTTTTGAATGCACGTGAACGTTCTTCAGGATAAATCACATGTTAGGGTTCAAAACAAGTCTCAATAAATTTAAGATTGAAATCATATCAAGCATATTGTCTGACCACAATGGTATGAAACTAGAAATCAATTACAAGAAGAAAACTGGAAAAAACAGAAAATATGTGGAGGCTAAGCAACACACTACTAAACAATCAATGGGACAGTGAAGAGATCAAAGAGGAGATAAAAAAATACCTTGAGACAGAGGAAAACAGAAATGCAACAGTGCAAAATCTATGGGATGCAGCAAAAACAGTTTTAAGAGGGGAGTTTATAGCAATAAAGACCTATATTGAAAAACAAGAAAAATCTCAAATAAACAATCTAACTTAGCACCTAAAGGAACTAAAAGAAGGACAAATAAAGCCCAAAGTTAATTGAAGGAAGGAAATAATAAAGACCAGAATGGAAATAAATGAAATAGAGAATTAAAATAGAAAAGACTTAAAAACTGAGTTAGTTCTTTGAAAAGATAAACAAAATTGATAAACCAATAGCCAGACTCATCAAGAAAAAAAGAGAGGTGAAAGAAACGAAAGAAGAAAAGTTACAACTGACACCACAGAAATACAAAGGACCACAAGGGATTACTACAAACAGTTATACACCAACAAATTGGATAACCTAGAAGAAATGGATAAATTCCTAGGAACAGACAATCTTCCAAGACTGAATCACAAAGAAATAGAAAATCTGAACAGATTGATTACTAGTAATGAAATTGCATCAGTAGTCAAAAACTCCCAACAAACAAAAGTCCATGATCACACAGCTTCACAGGTGAATTCTACCAAATATTTAAAGAAGACTTAATACCTACCCTTCTCAATCTATTCTAAAAAATTGAAGAGGGAGGATTCCTCCCAAACTTGTTCTATGAGGCCAGGATTACCCTGATATCAAAACCAGACAAAGACTACAAAAAAAACCAAAATTACAGGCCAATATCCCTGATGAACATGGATGCAAAAATCCTCAACAAAATATTAGCAAACCAAATTTAACAACACATTAAAAGGATCATACACCATTATCAGGTGGGATTTATTCCAGGGATACAAAGATGGTTCAATATCCACAAATCAATCAATGTGATACAGCACATTAAAAAAATGAAGGATAAAAATCATATGATTATCTCAATAACTGCAGAAATAGCATTTGACAAAATTCAACATCCATTTATGATAAAAACCCTCAACAAAGTGGGTTTAGAGGGAACATACCTCAACATAATAAAAGCCATATGTGACAAACCCACAGCTAACATCATGCTCAATAGCGAAAAGCTGAAATCTTTTCTTCTAAGATCAAGAACAAGACAGGGGCTGGCCCCATCGCTGAGTGGTTAAGTTCACGCACCCCGCTTCAGTGGCCCAGGGTTTCACCAGTTTGGATCCTGGGCATGGACATGGCACCACTCATCAAACCATGTTGAGGCAGCATCCCACATGCCACAACTAGAAGGACCCACAACTAAAATATACAACTATGTACTGGGGGATTGGGGGAGAAAAAGCAATTAAAAAAAAAAAAGAAGATTGGCAACAGTTGTTAGCTCTGGTGCTAATCTTTAAAAAAAAAAAAAGAACAAGACAAAGATGCCCACTCTTGCCACTTTAATTCAACATAGTTTTGGAAGTCCTAGCTACAGTAATCAGACAAGAAAAAGAAATAAGAGGCATCCATATTAGAAAGGAAGAAGTAAAACTGTCACTATTTGCAGGTGACATGATACTATATATAGAAAACCCTAAGGACTCTACCAAAAAACTATTAGAACTAATAAATGAATTCAGTAAATTGCAGGATACAAAATAAATATACAAAAATCAGTTGTGTTTCTATACACTAACAACAAACTATCAGAAAGAGAAATTAAGAAAACAATCCTCTTTACAATTACATCAAAAAGAATGAAATACCTAGGAATAAATTGAACCAAGGAAGTGCAAGACATGTACACTGAAAACTGTAAGACATTGATGAAAGCAATTGAAGACGACACAAATAAAAGGAAAGATTTACCGTGCTCATGGATCAGAAGAATTTATATTGTTAAAATGTCCGTACTATCCAAAGCAATCTGCAGATTCAATGCAATCCCTATTAAAATACCAATGCCATTTTTCGCAGAACTAAAATAAATAATCCTAAAATTTGTATGGAACTACAAAAGACTTCGAATAGCCAAAGCAATCTTGAGAAAGAAGAAAAAAGCTGGAGGTATCATGCTCCCTGATTTCAAACAATACTACAGAACTATAGTAGTCAAAACAATATGGTTTTGATTACAAAACTGGCACGAAAAACAGACACATAAATCAATGGAAAGAATAGAGACCCCAGAAATAAACCCATGCCTATATGACCAATTAATCTACAACAAAGGAGGCAAGAATATACAATGGGGAAAACAGTCTCTTCAATAAACAGTGTTGGAAAAACTGAACAGCTATATGCAAAAGAATGAAACTGGATCACTTTCTTATACCATATACAAAAATAAACTCAAAATGGATTAAAGACTTGAATATAGGGACTGGCCCAGTGGCGCAGCAAAGTTCGCATGTTCCTCTTCGGCAGCCTGGGGTTCGCCAGTTCTTGACTGCTTGTCAAGCCATGCTGTGGTAGGCGTCCCACAAATAAAGTAGAGGAACATGGGCATGGATGTTAGATCAGGGCCAGCCTTCCTTAGCAAAAAGAGGAGGATTGGTGGCAGATGTTAGCTCATAGCTAATCTTCCTCAAAAAAAGAAAAAGAAAAAGACTTGAAGGTAGGACCTGAAACCATAAAACTCCTAGAAGAAAACATAATTAGTAAACTCTTTGACATCAGTCTTAGCAATATTCTTTTGGATATTTCTCCTCAAGCAAGGGCAACAAAAGCAAAAATAAATAAATGAGATTACATCAAACTAAAAAGCTTTTGAACAGCTAAGGAAACCATCAACAAAATGAAAAGGCAACCATTGAATGGGAGAATATATTTGCAAGTGATGTATCTCATAAGGGGTTAATATCCAAAATATATAAAGAACACATACAACTCAATATAAAAAAAATATGATGTAAAAATGGGCACAGGACATGAATAGACATTTTTCCAAAGAAGACATACAGATGGTCCACAGGTACATAAAAAGGTGCTCAACATCATTAATCCCCAGGGAAATGCAAATCAAAACCACAATGAGATATTACCTCACACCTGTTAGAATGGCTGCTAGCAAAAAGACAAGACATAACAAGTGATGGTGAGGCTGTGGAGAAAAGGGAACCCTCGTACACTGTCATTGGTACAGCCATGATGGAAAACAGTATGAAGGATCCTCAAAAAATTAAAAATAGAACTACCATACAATCCAGCAATTCCATTTCTGGGTATTTATCTGTAGAAAACAAAAACACTAATTCGAAAAGATATATGCACCCCTATGTTCATTGCAGCATTATTTACAATAGCCAAGATATGGAAGCAACCTAAGTGACCATGGATAGATGAATGAATAAAGAAGATGTGGCATGTGTATACAATGGAATTTTACTCAGACATAAAAAAAGAATGAAATCCTGCCATCTGTGACAGCATGGATGAATCTAGAGGTATTATGCTAAGTGAAATAAGTCAGACAGAGAAGGAAGAATACTTCATGATTTCATTTATATATGGAAGCTAAAAAAAGAAAGCAAATGAATGAAGAAGACAGAAATAGCCTCATACATACAGGGACAAATTGGCAGCTGCCGGAGGGGAGAGGGGTAGGGGGAATGGTAAAACACCTGAAGGGGATTAAGCAGCACAAACTTCCAGTCACAAAATAAATGTCACAGAGATGTAATGTACAGCATAGGGAATATAGTCAACAGTTTTGTAATAACCGTGTATGATGGTTACTAGTCTTATCATGGTGATTATTTCATAATGCACATAAATGTCGAATCACTATGTCGTACACCTGAAACTAATACAATATTATATGTCAACTAGACTTCAATTTAAAAAAAAGAATGTTACACTCCTATTAAAGTGATCATTATGTTGAAACGTGCAATGTGAATATGTAGTGAGATGGGATACAGAAACAACAGAATTTAAAATGATAGGTGCAACTTCATTCTACACCTACAAAATATAAGAGTTTACTCACAAAAATTGAAGGAATTTTCTTGGAATTTTGGAGTTCACGGTGTTTTTAAAATTGTTTTCTTTAATAGTGATATTATCTGATTTTTTCAATTAAAAATAACTAGGTGGACCATCCATTAAAGGTGGAGTTGGGTGGAAGAGTTGCTGCTATGTTAGTGTCTTAACAAGACAGGCTTTGGGAAGCAGAAGAATAGACTCCATCAAGCTCTGTGTGTATAACTGCCTTACACCAGGAAGACAGACAAAGGGTTAATAGCTGGGTGAAGAGAAGCCCCGAAGTGATCCACATCAATATCAGAAAGTAAAAGAAACAGGGTAAAAGCCTCCTGTGGTCAATTTCCTTCCTAGACATTTAACTCATCTTGGAAAACTTAGAGTCACTAATACCTACTTTGGTGAGCCTGAAATAAGTGTTCCAGGTACCTGGGTCTTTGGAGCAGTTAAAGAATCTGGTGTGAGCATCAGTTCTCTGCATGGATGCTGTGCTCTTACATCAAACACGCGATGACCGTCCGATGTGCTTTCTTCCCTGGGTTTCTAGGTGCATATCTGTTGGCTCAGGCCTGTGTCTCCTCCTGCCCCCAGGGCACATGGCCCTCAGTGAGGAGTGGCAGCTGTGAGATCTGTACAGAGGACTGTGTCTCCTGCTCTGGAGCCAATCTTTGCAAAGAGTGCCGGACTCAGCCAGACCAGCCTCTCTTCCTCCACGAAGGCAGGTGCTACACCAAGTGCCCTAAGTAAGTTTCCCTCTTCCTTTCACTTCTTGTTCACTTGCATTCTCCTGCAGTACTCTGGGGGCCATTCCTTCCTATTCACCAAAGAACTCTTCTCCTCCCTGGTTACAGTGCCGACATAACTGTCCCTTCTTGACAGTCTGATGTCTCTGCTGGCCACAGCAGCCAAAACTTACAGAAGGTCAGATGCACACTTCTCCCTTGTGACTGTTATATTCATATATTTTTATTTTTGTGAAAATATGTTCTTTTTCCACCTTGTATTTATGATCAAGTAGTTGTCAGCTTTTTTTTTTTCCCCATCACAAAAGTGAGGCTGTGATAGGCTTGGGAACACACGAACTTCTAAATGTTGAAAGTAGGTGATATATAAATCATAGATAATAAAGAATATTACCTGGTTCTTTATGGATTCCTCATGGCTTCCTCAGCCTGTGGTTTATAATTCCTTTACTTTTCCTATCAACAGCCCCACCTCCAGGATTTACCTAAAGGGAAGTGGGAGAAGAAAATGGAAAAGTACGTTGGGAAACTTCTAGTGATTAACAACGTAAACGCCAAGTAGAATGACTGAGAAAAGATGGGCTTTATTATCTAACATAACAAGAAGTTGGGAAATCCACTGTTGGTTACGTCAGTGGCCAACATTTCATTAAAAACGCACAGTCATTTCATTTAGCTCTTGTCCCTTCCTTAGCCTGGCCTCCCCTGAACCACATTGTCTGCCCCATCCCCAAACACCACCCCAAGCTGCAACAACCAGAGACAGAAAAGGGCCTGTTTCCCCTTTTCATTTCTTTGTAAGAGGAAAGAAAACTCCCTCAGACTGCCCTTCACATCTCATTAACCACAATGCATCACTTACACCTTCCTAAACTCAGCGCTGGCGAGGAGAATGGAAATATAAGGATTGGGATAGATTGAACAAGATTCACCCCTGAACACCCAAACAAAGTCAGGACACTTACAGCCAGGAAGAATGGAGAGAGGGAGGCAAGAAATGAGTTTGGAGAAGCAACCAACAAATCTCCTTTAAGGAATTAGAAATTTCATTTGCCCAATGATTAAAAGAGCTTGATGATAGAAACAACACCTATTTCCTATGGCCTATTTGTATCCATTATTGAGATGGATCCTGGAGGGAACAAACACAAGTCAAGGTACTTACCTTCAGGAAGCTTCCAATCTAGTGTAGAAGCCAAGTGTATTCAACTCAATTCTACAAATACATACTTAGCACCTGCTGGGTGTAAGAATTGATGTTAGAAACTAAGTTAAAATCAACTGAAGGAAGTCTGTGCTTGCAAAAGGCTAACAATCCAGCAGGAAGGTTTACATCAATCAGTGTCATACCTCTAGGGGCCTTAATAAACAAAAGGTCAAGAGATTCCAAGGGAAAAGAAACCATTTAAAAACACCTATTTCAGTACTTGTGATACCTGGGCACTGTGCTAAGGGCTTCAAATGTACGATCCCATTAATCCTTACAAGAATTATTCTTATCCAGATACTATTATTTCCCCCATGTGAAGGATGGGGAAAGGAGTGACGTGCTCATATCACAGAGCTAGTCCATGGTATGGTCAGGATTTCAACCCAAATCTCACTAGCACTCAAGTCCATGTGCTTAACGACTGCACAAGATGACCTTCTCAACCAACTGGGTTTTTAAATAACAGCTTTATTGAGATACAATTCACATACCACACAATTCACCCATATAAAGTGTACAATTCAATGGTTTTTAGTATATTCACAGAGTTGTGCAACCATCACCACAATAGATTTTAAAATATTTCCATCACCCCAAAAATAAAACTCTGTACCCTTTTAGCAGTTACTCCCAATTCCGCCAGCCCTAAGCAACAACTAATTTATTCTCTGTCTCTACAGATTTGCCTATTCTTAAACATTTCATATAAAAAGAATGGTATAAAATATGATATTTTGTGACTGGCTTCTTATATTCAGCATAATATTTTCAAGGTTCCTGCCTAGCTGGGTTTGAGAAGAGGTGAAAGAGTCAGGGTCAGAGAACCTAGGGGGAAGGGAATATGAGGTAAGACAGAGTCAGGACAGTCCCAGCCCTCCTCCCCCATGCTCCAGCCTCAGCAAAGGTAGTGAAGTCATTATTATACAACAAAGGTGAAAGTCAGAAATCTACTTACCAAAGTCAATCATTGCTTCCTCATTGACCTTAGCCATAGTGGAAATGAACTGGTTGTCGTTACTATCACCTTACTGATTTAATAATTACCACCCTTTCTCAACTGTCTCTTGGATTTTTTTAATGTTCAGGCATTGACAATGCATTTAAGTGAGGAAAAGAGAGATGCATTTGGCCTTCCTCCAGTTAGTAGACCACTGAACACATCTTTCTTCCAAATCTGGGTTGAACCACTCTTGTGCAGCCATGGGACACTATGCAGATACATGGCAGAGTTGACACAAATAATCAATAACCAATCTATAGATAAGAAAGACAGTGATATTTATTGAGCCAAGGCTGAGGACTAGCCTGGAAGTTTTATCTTCACCAGAGAATAACGCACTCTGGAGAAGGGTAGTTTAGTGTGGTTATATAACATTTCAGACCAAAGAACATACATCAAGCATGACAGGAACACAATTTTCCCCCCCAAAGTCACAAGGCTATATTTTGCCACAGTTTAGCACACACACAGCAGGTCAGTTTGACTTTTGTTCTCTGGGAAGAAAAGCTTATCTTCAAAGAACTACTGATATCAGCGTCAGAGAAAGGGAGACATTCATCCCCATCTTTAAAGAGCGCATTCTTTGCTTTGGGAAGATGTTTGAAGCAGATGTACAGTGCATGTTTGGTGGGCCATCAGTCAGGATGCTCTGGGCAAAATAAATTTTATACCAAGTCAGGGTTAAATCAGCATGGCTTCCCTATATACCTCAATATGTGAAAACTTATTATTATTTTCATCATTTTACCCCGTTTTATCAATAATCTTTTGATAGAAAGCATTGATGATCAAGTTATTGTCCCTCAATGCCAGGGTGGTTGCTGCCTGCCCTGGGTCCATCATGTCCCTTGGAGCTGGGCTTTTATTTTATTAATTTATCCAGTTATCCATGTTAAAGGGGAAACAGCCAAGCCTAGTGAGCGGACATAGAGGTATATGCTGATAGGGGAAGCATTTCATAAGTCAATAATTTGGGGTTGTTGCACAAACATTGTACACACACTTCAAGATTTTGTAATCATTGCTTATGACAGTTAACAGCTATAGAGCAGATACAGTAGTAATGATAATAAAGTGTTTGCTTCAGAAGAATAAGTCTTAAGCTCTGATCTCTGTTAGTCTAGAGGGATAGAAAGAAAGTATTAGAGTTATGGGAACAATAAATAAAAGGTACCCAAAAGACAATTTAAAACAGAAGGAAGGTGACTAGTGTCACATAAAAGTATTAAAATTGCTAATTTACTCAAGAATATGATTCTTATAGCAATTATAAAGGAGTATACAGCTTAAGGATTACAAAGGTTTAAATGAGGGGATGTAAGGTTGGGAATACAGGCCTAGTCTGGAATCTTGGGACAGCTGTCTACAACAGATGTCAGCTTCTTCTCATCCTGATTTGATAATACTTGTCTTATGCAGTCAAAGCCAGGTGTCAGTAATAGGAGGTGAAATCCACTCAGGAGGAGGGGACTCTTTTAAATGATAAATGTGAATCTGTAATTTTATGCTTTGAATTCTGCAGTGCATGGATTGGTTAAGAGTAGCTGATATGGTCCTTTCCAAGGGGGCTGCGAAAAGACTTTAAGTTGGTGTCTCTTCCAATAAATAAAATCTCCGGGCTGTAGTCCATGATCCTTAAGATCTTCATCTCCCAGGAGCTTGCTGTGAAAAGAATTGGCTACCAGTTTTTCATTCCTTTGTAGTGTCTCAGTAAGACCTTGATATTAAGGCAAGGTATCTCCTTTGAACAAAGTTGGTTCATATGTTCCTTCATCTAATTGCATAGGCCATCCTGTTATTATTTCAAAAGGAGACAGCTGATGTTTACCAAAGGGTGTAGATCTAAGATCAAGGAGCACTAGTGGACGAGCTTTTGGCCATGAGAGATTAAATGCTTCTGAAAGTTTTGCCAACTGAGGGTTTTTGGGTTTTGTTGGAAGATGGGCCCTGAGCTAACATCTGTTGCCAATCTTCCTCTTTTTTTTTCCTCCCAAAACTCCCCAATACATAGTTGTATATCCTAGCTGTAGGTCATTCTAGTTCTTCTATGTGGGATGCTGCCTCAGCATGACATGATGGGTGGTACTAGGTCCATGCTCAGGATCCAAATCAGTGAACCCTGGGCCACCAAAGTCGAGCGTGTGAACTTAACCATTCAGCCATGGGGGCAGCCCCTGCCAATTGAGTTTTGATTGTACTGTTAGTTCTTTTTACCAATCATGAGGACTGGGGACAATAAGCACAGTGCAAGTACTGTATTATTGGCTAAACGTCACACATAGATTTAATTATTTGTCCAGTGAAATGAGTTCCTTCCCCAATCACTGTGTAACTTGATAGGAATTACCCAAACAGGAATTATTCTTTCTAGTAACAATTTACCTACCGTTAAAGCTATCACTCTTCTGCAAGGGAAAGTCTCAACCCAACGTGAAAACATATAAATCACTACTAAGATATATTTATATCCTTGAGATGGTGACATTTGAACAAAATCCAATTGCTATACCTCAAAGGCCTCTTAGGAAGGGGAAAGTGGCCTTGTGACCCATGAAGTAGTTTCCTGGAATTATATTTAGGACATATAGTACAACAAGCATAGGATTTATGAGCCACTGTGGGAGAAAGTTTCCAAAAATATTGTTTTCCCCACAAAATCATCTCCTCAGGTGCCCGATGGGTTAATTGATATATCTGCTGGAGCAGTGGCAATTGTGCTCCAATAGGCAATATGGGTTTTTTATTGGGCCCAAACCACATTTGTATGGTGGGGTCAAACATTCTCTCTTT